ATTAAAGTTCAAAAAAACACATAATCTTTCGAAACTTTTTCTCATTTTTTCTCTTGCTTCTTACCTTTACATTTAATTTGTAGATAATTTGATCATTGTGTGAATTAAGTAAAAAGGTTTTTTGGTAGTATATTACAAAAATTTATTAATAGTATATAATTCTGTACTTCATCTAATTCTGTCAACTTGCCCGAAATTTAATGGTGTTACTAGCTAAAGATGTATCGCATTGAACGATGAATAATTTTGATAATATTGATTCTCATTTTTCAGGGCAAGAAAGACGTCGTGTTGGTGATACGTTATTGAATAAACAGAGTAGTCGATCACACTCTATATTTAACATTCGTGTGGTAATGGCTCCTTGTCTTCTAAATACGTGTTATCCTGATACGGATCCTACTAAGGTATTTAATTCATATAGTATAGAAACCTATATATATATATATATATATATAAGACATTTTGAATGTTATCGGAATAGATAAAATGTTTTTCATAGATACATGTTAGCCAGTTATCACTAGTTGACCTGGCTGGGTCAGAACGAACAAAAAGGACAGGAAATGAAGGAGCACGCCTTATTGAAAGCGGCAAAATAAATCAAGGACTTTCAGTTCTTCGTCAGTGCTTTGAGAAATTACGGTAAGTGACAAACTTTTATAGAAAGATGTTATTACTTAAATATTCATTGTCTTAAGCATATTAGAAAATCTAAATACTGTACTCAGTTGTGTGGATAAAGCTACCCGAATGTACATTCCAAAATTTTTGCATGAATTCAACAACGAAGTTCTTGATAATATATCATAATATTAAACTTTCATCGTAATATTATTGATAATAATAGTGTTTGAGAATCATATCTTGGCTAAAATAAGAAGCCAAAGCAGAATTATGAGTATATTTCGGATGAGAAAAAAAAAATTAAGATTATAGAGACAATCAGTTGCGTGATAAGGCAGTTGCAATTTCGTACAGAGAATCGAAAATAACACATCTATTTAAAAATTTTTTCGAAGGAACTGGAAAAGTGCGCATGATCATTTGTCTGAATCCAAAACCGGAAGATTTCAATGAGAATCAGGTAAGCAGCTTACTACACCTTATTCTTTTGCTTTATACATTGTTATCGTCTTCGATAACTTTAAAAACTATTTCAGTTTCGGATTACAAGATCTGCTTTGTTTATTCTACAGTTTGCATTTCAGGGTGTGTTAAATTTTGCACAGCTATCGAAGGATATTGCAGTTTTGGAAGGGAACGAAATCATGCCACCGTCTGAATCCGGTTTCCCAGTCAGTCGTCGTGATTTCCTAAAATGGTTGAACGAATTAGGACCTATACATGCCTCGGTTAGCTTAACTGTTACTATTTCTATTTCTAAATTATTTGATAGCAAGTTTTCTAAATGTGTGTTTCATCTTCTGTCTTTAGAAAAAAGCAGTATTATCCTTCCCATCACCACCACCGTTCAGTGTTTCCGGCCCAGAGGATGCAGAATCAATTGCTCGGTTACGCGAGTATTATCAACACAGTGCACAGGAATATAGTTCTTTGCATGCAGTATTTGAACGTAGAGGTAATTTCTTGCCATGCTTTACATGCATTCGATTGTTTCTTACTTTTCTTTCTTTCAGAAGATTTAATCTGAGATGACATTGTAACAGATTTATTTACAGTCGTATTAGACAATACTGTTGTCAGTGCTATTGATATGCTGCTTAGATAACGTCATATTTTTATTCACTTAAGAAAATTTTTTTTTTTTTTTTTGCAATTTAATGTTAAAAAAAATATCAGAGATAAATGTTTATATGCTACAGCGGCTGAAATGGAGCAACACTTGCAACGAGCCTTGTGTACTGTTGATTTACAAGAAGTGCGTATTCAACAACTTGAAGCGGAGAGGGATGAAACGGAACGACTTTTATCAACATTGACATATAAGATGAAACAAATGCGGGTAACTCATTTTGCTTAATTTTTTTTTTTTAAATTAATGCTTCAGCATAAAAAGAAAAAAAAAACTGTTCACTTGTAGCATGAAAACTTGAATTTACGTCAGCGTTTGGAGCGTTGTGAATCGGAAGAGAACGAGAAGTTAAATCAAGAGGAGGAACATAGACGACGTGAAAAATTGTATCAGGAACAGCTTCGTAAAAGGGAAAAAACACTTCATCAGGTAAATGATTTTACAAGGAAGTGGAATGATGTGCTGATTGAAATTTTGTGTCGATCTTCAGTTTTATGTGTTGTTGAAATTTAAGGTACGTGAAATATGTGAAAGACCGCTTGTTTCATCAACTAGGCGTTTCAAAAGCATTGAAAATATTCATAATGCGGCCACAGTAGATGGTGATAATTTGGTCGTTGATGCCAAGGTTAGCTTTTTATTACATTCTTATTGCATTACTTTAGCGATAGATTGTAATGATTTTCTAAAATTAAATCTATTAATTGGATATGTAGATTTATGCTAATTACTATGAATGAATAATCAGCTAATCGAATTGAGAACATTGTCACCATTTAAAATAATAATGTTATGTAAGTTGTATTTTTAAGATCGTGCAAAATGAAGAATTGTCGACACCTCACCGTGTTGCACTTGCAAGACAGAAGTGGGAAGCACGAACTGCGAATCAAAATGCAAGTTTTGATTGGGATTACAAAAATGATTTTAATAGATTGAGCAAATTTGAAATAAAATATTTATAGCATTCACTAGAATCTATCGAATAACCAGATGGTCTATTTCTAGGCTTTAGCAAAAACTCGTACCGGTTATTACAATGCACGATTTCACAGACGATCTAAAAGTGCGAACAGTAGAGTGATTGATCATCAACCTCGAAATCGTATTCCGGAAGGGACGATCTTGCAGCCACGAATGCCGAAATTTTCTAAAACTAGAAATAAATTGAGTGCGGAAGAACTGAAAAAATGCTCTGATTATGTGCTGACACATCAGGAGATTGATAAAGAGGGTTGTCTCACTACACAAGTTGTTAAGGTGTTCTTTTTTAACCTCCCTTTGAAAATATAGCAACTTGAAAGGTAGAAAGTTATAATAAATGATAACAAATGTATCAAAGATTTACAAGTACAAAGCAAGTGGTTCAGAATTTGAGGTTATGTGCATTTAAAACATAAAATTTATTCGCTGAGATTGTTCATTTATTGTTTAGTACTCATTTCAATACATTTCTACTGATTCAGCGATTTGTTACCAGGTGTATATTAATTATTCCTCTAAATAATAAAAAGAATTTTTGTTTCGGTATTCTCTATCATTGTTTTCAAGTCATAATAATAATAATGAAAACTAATCAATGAAGTTCTTCCTTTTAGGGTGAGTGTATCCCAACTGCTGGAGGAGGCACGGCAGTGCGTTTCAATGACGTGGAGCGATTGTCACACGAATCACCAAAAGTTTAAGTACACTAAAGAAGAAATGAAAGTTGTTGTAATCAGATCTTTTGGAACATTTAATTCAAAGCTAGAATTCTGCTTTCAACCTCCATTTTATTTAGAAATTCGGTATGTTATTTGTGTATTTGGAATTAAATTTTCTGTGTCCTGTATTTCAATTCAGAGATTTAATATAGATTATTTTTTGCTTTACCACACATGTCCCGAAGTATTGTTTAAAGTGTGTCTTCTATGTATGGTAAATAGATTTTTAAGCTTTTGAGCTGACCTTTCTTGAAGTGCTCGTTTTTGAGATCTTGAAGTGCTCGTTTTTGAGAAATTTATTTATTCTTTTCAAACTGCAAAATTTAGTTGCAATACTGTATGAATTTTTATTGATTACTGTTGACTCCATACTTCTGATCGTACAAATAAGTGCGCTTCTTCTATTTTACTGTTCATTTTTCTCCATATAGGTTTATAAAAATCACAGGTAGGGAAATTTTCAATTACTGTTGATATCGAAGAATGAGCTTGTGCAGATATTACTTCAATCGCTTCCCTGAAATTCCATAATATTGCTATTTTGTGAACCAAGCATACTGATTACTTTGTATGATTGTAGTCAATTTTTCTCATAAAAGATCTACAATGAAACAAAATTTGATCGTTTTCTTCGCAATAAATTGAAGTCTGTCTAACAGTGGTCTGTCTAACAACATGACATTTGTCCAAAAAAAAAAAACAAAGTTTGACGCTATCATACATTCACTATTAAACAATTTTGATATCTATCATAGAATCTATGCTTGATGTATGATGATATTCTGAAATACCTGATTCTTCATTATGTGAATGAATATGATACACAAATATACTCGAAAATTCAGCAACATTCTTCACCAGTTACTCAAATCTTTGTCTAGTTAATTAATTTCATCATGATATTTGATACCATCTGAACTCATATCATTGTTTTCCCAGTTTACTTGTTCTTCGAGAAGTACGTTCCATTACATCTCGTCATCATAATTTTTACACATGATGAAATTCGTGATTAAATTTCATACGAGATGTAATTTATGAAGATAATGTAAATAATCTCTCAATTGTATTATCCTTTTAGGAAAATGATTATTATCTATCTATTTTATTGTAGCTAATACATATGCAAAATATGCTAAACAATTTTTATTCTTCAACCTACATTACTTCGCTATTCAATTTTTTTCATTGTGATGCATAAACATTTGCTTAGAGTATTTTGTTTTTTTTTTTTTTTACAAAATATTAAGTAATACTAACGCCTATATATTTGCACTCACTTTACAGTAATAATATTTTAAAAAATTAAAATTAAGAAATATTTTCATATGTTTTTTATTGCTATCTATTTTTAGCTATTCTATTTTATTCTTCTTTTTTAATAGTAATCATTTGCTAAGCAATACATCTCGGTTTAATCACTTAATGCTTCCTTTGCTTTAATGAACCAGTATCATTTACCATTTATTTTTACCTTCATATTGATGTCATTCATTGATTTGTCCATATCACACTATCAATTTTTCACAATCTATTTTAGTTTACACTTCTTGCTGTAAATACTAGAATAAATTATGAAATGATAGTATGTTTGGGATGAAATATGAAATACGAATATAAGATATAATAGATCAAATTGAAATTTTTGATATATATTCTAAGTATTCAACAAAAAAAAAGAAAAAAAAAATTAGCAACAAGATCATTCAAGACTGTCAACTGTCAACTATTTCTCCACTATCATAAATTATGTAAAGTTAAGATATGCTATTGTTTCTATTCCTCTAGAGATATATTCTTAAGATTTTCATTTGAACATCTTAACAGAACATTCGAGTGATAATGTTTACTGATATTACAACATAGCTGGACAAATGCTCTTCCTTCTTGAATGTTTTGAAATGACTTGAAAAAAAAAAAATACACGACAGTTTAGGAATAATAATTTAACGATATCAATTTAAAAAATTAAAGGAGATAATTTCACAACTAATTTTATAAATTTTTCTTCATTGATAAACTATTGCTACAACTATAAAGAACAAAAAAAAAAAAAAAACCCAAGAATAGATAAATATGATTATTGATAACTTACCTGAGACATATCAGGTGGAGTAAAAAATAATGATGATGATGGTGATGGTGATGAAAGTGGCGTAGATGTTGCTTCAACATATTCAGTATTACTTATACTTTGAGATTGTTGCATTGTAAATTGAGTTGTAGAAGATATGGGTCGCGTGTAACACAACGTTTCCGTTGTTAACGTGATAGGATAACGTGAAGTAGTATTTAACGGTATACGTGTTTCATTGTATCTCTCCGGTGAAAAATTAATTATATTATTAAAATAATATACAAATGATGATGTAGGAAAACAAAATCTATCACGATCTGCATACAGTTGCATGAGTATTGGATTACCTAAAATAAATAATTTATAGTATTATAAAGAAAATGGATATTTTATATTAAAATTAACGATTTTATTAATTATCAATTAATTATTAGGTTCAATTCATTCAAATTTCTTGATTTTTTTTGAGATTTTATCAATACAAAATGAATGAAAATGCAGTAAAACTTAAGTTTAGCAGTTTTCTAAACTTAAAATTAAACATGTTGCATTCATTTTAAACAAATATAAAAAAGCTAAAAAAAAAAAAAACGAAAAGAATTCTCATATATCTTTGGAAAGAATAAGCTTTTTTTTTTTTTTGAAATTTTGAAATATTTAAATATTTGTTTTAATTCTACAAAAAAAAAAAAAAAATTGCTTACGATAAAATGTTCGTTCTTCACAATATATGAAATGTGCTTGATCTCTTAAATAATGCAAAGACATTTCAGATGTTGTTTCAGACCTGAATTCTCCAGCAGGTGTGTTAATATAACGATAAATCAACATTATTGACAGGTAAAATTATCTAAAATAATTTTGTTTTGAGTAATTTATGATATTTAAAAATTGTTGATTACTTTAAATATAATTATGACAAATAAATTTGACTAATTTAACAATTCATATTATTATTAAAATATATTTTTTTCTTTTTTTTTTATGCTAAATTTCATATCATTTTAATGAACAGTTAAAACTAAATGATTAAAATGATTAAAATGAATGATTAAATAAAAAAGCATTCTTACTGTTAAAATAGTATGCATTAATAAGTAAAATATAAAAGATTCATTTTCTCTTATAGATCAAAAATTGTAGAGCTGATACCGAGAAATATCGATAATTTCTGCTAAGCATATTAGAGAAGATCAATCAAATCAATCAATCAATCATAGCGGAATAATCGTAATAATAATAATAATATCATTGTCCAATGATATAATCATTTCCAATTATGCACGAGAAAAATGTTTTAAAATTATTTGATAAAAGAATTATGGAATAAAATTTCAAAACTTTTTGCAAGAATTAAATTTCAATACCAAAATGTTAAAGTTTAATTTAAAATTTTTTCTTAGCTAAATAATATACATTTTTATTCTTTATGCAATGTTTTTCATTTTCAAAATTTCCTTTAATTTTATAGTATTCTCCAATTCCATAATAATTGCAAATTCTGGAATTATCTAGATTTTACAATTATGTAAGAAATTATAATTAGATTATGTTGTTGATTATGACAATCAGATGATGTCATAATGACATTTGTGACAAATTTTATTCGTCCTTAGATAATGTGATAAGTTAAATTTTAAATTTTCAAAAATTTTATTATAAATTTGTAGTGAGAGTTGAATGATGTGAAATTTATTGAGTACAATATTCATAACTGTTTTGTTCAGTTTGCCAAACTGTGATATTATCACTGATTTTCAGTGATAGTATTTTCAGCTGATCCATTATCCTCTAAAAAAAAAAAAAAAAAAAGAAAACTTAAAATCTGAAATGAAATTCTTTTCATTTTTACGGTAGAACATTTCAAAGCATGTTGAAGATAATTAATTGATTGTCATGTGGAAATTATCATTTGAGCTTTTGATTGTGATTGTTTTCAACAAAAAAATACCAATTAAGATGATAAGTGCGAAATAACAAATCATTCCATAAATTATCTCATTCCTGAACCTGAATCTCTATCCGGAAATTAGCATGAAATAGACATTTGTGTTGTTTATGAGTTATGTGTATGTGAATGTTAATAAAAGATTTCAAATATTTCTTCTATTAAGAATCTATCATTAAAATAATCAGAATTACTGTTATTAATTATTATTCTTGTTATTAACTATTATTATTATTATTATTATTATTATTATTATTATTATTATTATTATCACTATCACTATTATTATTAATTATCATTATTTTAATTAATTATTATTTATTATTTTTATTATAAATTGTTACTGTTATTAATTATTACTGTTATTAATATTTTATTACTATTAATTATTTTTGTTATAAATCATTAATTGTTAATTATCATTGTTATTATTATTATTGCTATAAATCATTATTATTAATCATTTTATTATTATTATTAATTATTGCCTTTTTCTGACGACATCTATTTAGGTGATGTCATCGTTGAGCTTTAGTGTTTGCTATTTTTTTTTTACTCATACATCATTTTGTCGTCTTAATAACATAAGTGATTACTCTTTTAATGAATGTTACTGGAAAATTTTAGAAATTTGTAAATTATAAGTTTGACTAAAAAAAAAAATTTCATGACAAAAAGCTGTTGATTTGTACAAACTTAAATATCATAATTATAATTATAGCTAGTAAAACATAAAAAAAAAAAAATTATGCATATATTTATGGTTTATATTTTACTCAAGTAAACAAACATATTTAACTCAACTCAATCAAGTAGTGAAAATTTTTGAAATCTTTTAAGTAGAATTATTTTATTTAATAAATTTTAACAGAAATATTGTTAACTGACAAATAACTAGATGAAAATTTGATAATTAAAGCTACTGAAAAAAAAAGAATTAAAGTACTTTATGGACAATAAAAGTTTATTCAAGTAAACATATCAATTGCAAATTAATCGATGACTAATTTGTAATGGAAATTATTTACTTATAATTTCATAAATTGTTAAAGTTAATAATTTATAACTTTATTCAACAAAATGCTGCAATAAAACTGCAAAACTTTTTTTTTTTATTTCGAGCACAATTTGAAATTTATTTCAAAAGTGAAAACTTTACATAAGAATATAATAAGTTTAATTAAAATTGCAATAGCATAAAAGAAGAATGAAAAATAGTAATTAAACACAACGAAATCATACAATTATTTATTTGTTGTTCTCATTACATCTCTCATAAATCTGTTATATGCATGAAAAAAGAAAAAACAAATTCCATTTTATCAGCTTCAAATAGACCGATCAATTTAAACATCAAAAATTAAACAAAAAAAATTTAATTTAATTTAATGCCATGAACTATTTTAATTAGTTCATTTTTTTCATTGTAATATTAAAAAAAAAGTATATGTATATTAAAAATAATATTTTTAATTTCAATTTCAAAATTTATTTTAAAAACTTTTAAATTGAATTCACATACCGTTAAGTATATAATGACCACAAATTGTCGTACTATTTACTGTTTCAATGCTATTTAAATATGCATTTTAGTTTAATTTTTTTTTTTTTTTGTTTTTTTTTTTTTTTCACTTGAAGATTGACATTCATAAATCGCATAAATCTGAAGTATTATAATAAATGATAAACAATCTAATTAATATGAAATGAATATTTGATATTCTGAAGATTACAATCTTGAATATCTCTTAAAATTATAAAAGTGATAATTTTGATAATAATCAATCAGGTGCACTGATACTATCTTCTATGACAATACAGCAGCAGATAATTTTGTTATCATCAATTTCTCTTTGAGTATTGATATGATTTGCTATGAACGATTTAATGTGAATTGATAATTTCATTGCTAAAAAAAAAAAAAGTTAAATTCTCATTTCTTAAAAAAAACTTCAAATGATTTTTTTTTTTTGAAATTTTTGTAATCTTTTTTTTTTGTCGAGAATGCATTTCAAGAAGTGTAAAAGAAGTAAATGCTAATCTTTAGTTATGTCTTTTGTTTTTTTTTTCTCATAAACATATAATTTTCTATCTAAGATTACAGTTTTGTATATTTTAAATTTCACTCATTCAGTTTATTTTTTAATAGAAAAAAATAAATGCAAATTTAACTTTCATTTTTAAGTTAAACCTAACCGAGGCTAACATAGATATATTTCAGTAAAGAAATTTAAAGTTAACAATTTTTTTAGGCTAACTTTCAAGCTATATTTATTGATAATATAAATAGCATCTTGCAATCTTCAATGGCATTTTTAAAAAAAAAAAAAAGCAGAAAAACAATAGAAATCAATGAGTAATTTAATGAAAACAATCTAAAAATACAAACAGAAATTGTTGTTAAAAAGATTATTATTTAAGCTATTTTGCATGAAATAATTTAGCAGAAAATTTAAAATATTTAGAACAAATGATAGATGAACTATTTAGAAATGATTCGATCAGATCCGATCAGTTCAAATGACACAGACAAATCCTCAACTGTCAACCAATGCACTCGTTAAATCTTTTAATCTCTTTTCAGTATGTACAATCAGCACATCATTTAATCAATAATTAGCTGAAAATCGAATTGAATATAATTTGTATTTTGGATGAAACTTTTTTTTTTTTTTAAAGCTATAGAATAGATGAAATTTGTCAAAGTATTTCAATTTTAATGAAATCCAATCTGAAATTGAAAATAACAAAGTAAATATTTGAAAGTAAATTTTTTGCTATGAATTATTTGTCAAAAAAGGCAAACTTCCATCAGAATCTTTCCATCATCGATGCAATTTATCATTATTTTGAAGAGAAAAGTTTGACTTACTGAAACAATCAAAGTATTACTTTGTTCTTTTATTATCGATAAAAAATAAATTAAATTTTTATAAACAATTGAAGAAGCATTTCTATCTGAATGTTAATGTAGTTTTAGAGCTAAAAGAAACACCGCCGATGTGATATTTGTTCTCATAAAATAGCAAAGAGAAAAGTTTAGAGAACTCTACGTGACATTCCTTGCTATTTGACAATGTAAGTTCCACGTAGTGATCAGAGATCACGTTTAACTAGCAAGGTCAGGTCATCTATGGTGACACATTGTCTGAGTTCTGTACGATAATTTCTTCCAAGTATGATCGTAGTAGACTTTATATATTTTTATATTTATATTTGAGATCGTTTGGATGGGAGTCTATTTAATATTAGATGAGTGAAGGCTCAAGCCAAAACCGTACATTACCTTATCCGAGAACTAGTTTTTGCATATCATGTCATCCTTATTGCAGGTCATATCACCACCACTGAAGGTCATATCACCATCATTGGAGGTCATGTCAACAACATTGCAGGTCATTCCACCTCATTGCAGGCCATGTCATCCTCACTGCAAGTCATGTCACCACCATTGAAGGTCGTCATATCCACCATTGCAGGTCATTTCACCTCATTGCTGGTCATGCATGTCAACAACATTGCAGGTCATTTCACCTCATTGCAGGCCATGTCATCCTCACTGCAAGTCATTTCACCTCATTGCAGGCCATGTCACCTCACTGCAAGTCATGTCAACAACATTGCAGGTCATTTCACCTCATTGCAGGTCATTTCACCTCACTGCAGGTCATTTCACCTCATTGCAGGCCATGTCACCTCACTGCAGGTCATTTCACCTCATTGCAGGCCATGCATGTCAACAACATTGCAGGTCATTTCACCTCATTGCAGGCCATGTCATCTCACTGCAGGTCATTTCATGCACATTTCATTGCAGGTCATTTCACTCATTGCAGGCCATGACTGCAGGTCATTTCACCTCTTTGCAGGCCATTTCACCTCA